TCTCATGTCTAAAATATACCTGGAACTCAAAAAATTAAATCCCTTCCCCCCAAAAAAATCCTCAAAGAAACAACCACCCCATTAATAAGTGGGCTAGAGACTTAAAGAGAAACTTTTCTGAAGAGGAAATAAGAATGGCCAAAAGACACATGAAGAAATGCTCAAAACTTCTGGCCATAAAAGAAATGCAAATCAGAGCAACATTGAGATTCCACCTCACCCCAGTTAGAATAGCTATGATCAAGAAATCTAATAATAGGGGCTGGGAAGGTGGCTCAGTGGTAGAGCGCTTGCCTTGCACGCATGAGGCCCTGGGTTCGATTCCTCAGTACCACATAAGCAAAAAGAAAAAACCCGGAAGTGGCGCTGTGGCTCAAGAGGTAGAGCACTAGCCTTGAGCTGAAGAGCTGAGGGACAGCGCCCAGGCCCAGAGTTCAGGCCCCACGACTAGATCCCTCCCCCCCAAAAAAGGAAAGAAATCTAATAATAACAGATGCTGGAGGGGATGTGGCCAAAAAGGAAGCTACTTCATTGTTATTGGGGGTGTAAACTTGTTCAACCACTCTGGAAAGCAGTATGGAAGTTCCTCAAAATTGGACAGTTTTAAAGCAAAATAGTGGCATAATAAGATTTGTATTTGAGCAAGATCACTGTAGATGCTGGGTGAACAATAGATGGAAAGGGTGACAGTAGAAGCTAGGACCAGGTAGATGATTTGATGGCAGTTCAGTTTTCCTTGAAGTACTTGTTAAATTCCAAGCAAACAAAAATTTCTCTTGCTTTTGGACAAATGATTAAAATTATTCCTATCACTTAAAAAGGCCTGGATGATTTGACACCCTCACCAGCCCCCAGTACATCTTCTTTTCCTCTTGCAAGTGAGCCTTACTGACATTCATTTAGTTTCTTAAATGCATCCTTCTCTCAGGGTGCAGGAGCTTTGGATTTGCTATGGTTATGTATTTATTATATTATGTAATTTCTGTGTATGGAAAAATATATATAACATAAATGTAACATTTTACCCATGACATTTAATGCATTTACAGTGTTGTGAAATCATCACCACTATCTAGATCCAGAAGTCACTCATCATTCCAAGAGAACTCTCCATATCCCCTACCCTCTCATCTGCTTTCTGACTATGGATTTATCCATCCTGGATAGTTCACATGAAAGGAATAAGAAACTATATGATCTTTGTGTCCTTTCTTATACTCACTAATGTTTACAAGGTTCATTTGTGTTGTTTCACACAACAGGTAGTTCATTAATTTTTATGGCTGAATAATACTTCATTATATGGATATCTTACACTTAGATTATCTATTCATCCCCTGATGGACCTTATTTAAGTTATTTCTACTTACAAAGAATGTTCACATGAACATTCATATGCCAATTTTTGTCTATTTTCCATTCTTTTTGGTATACACTTAAGAGTGAAATTGCTGGGTGGTTTGGTACCTATGTTAACATTTAGTGGTACTATAGATCAGTGAATACTATTCCTTTTCTTTGGTGACTGTATAAAAAGTACCACAGATTGGCTGTATTAAAACTACTGAAAATTTCCTACCATTCTGGAGGCTTGGAGTCTAAAAAATCAAAGTGTCACCAGAGCCATGCTCCTCTAATTCTGAACTGAATCCTCCTCTGTGTCTTTCTAGCCTCTGGAAATAACCATTGATCCTTGACATTTTGCAGTTGTTTCTCATCTCTGCTCTGTTGTCAAATGGCCTTCTCCCAGTATGACTGTCTTTATATCTCCCTCTCTCCTTGTCTTCTTTATTTTTAAGGACACCAATCATATTTGATTAAGGGGCCATACTACTCCAGTATGACCTGGTCATCACTTAAATAATTATACCTGCAACAAGGTTTCTTCCAAATAAGTTCACCTTCTGAAGGTGGGACACAATTCAATTAATGAGCACCTGATTGACATCTGGCATATCTGAATCCCCTGGTGAGTGTGTTGACACAGGTTTGGGGTGAGGCCTGGAGGGGTCAGAGATTCTACAATTCCACAAACTGTCTATCAGTCAGTACTGTTAATTCAGGGATAGGGTTGATACCAGATGGTGAGACCTTACATAATAGAAAAAGTGGAAATGAGACCAAATCACATTTTATGAACAAAACAGGCAAAGCTTTATAGGATAACAGCCAGGACCGGCCAATTTCAGTTGGAGCCAAAAGGAGGTAAGCAGTGACCAAGTGGAGGGTTTATCAGGCAGTTGCTCTCTGAATAAGAGAGCAGCAAGCTTTTATTTGTTTTTGAAGACTGGGTGGGCTGAAGTTTGGTCTCTGTACATTCTTCTTGGGCACAGTTTCAAACAATATTTTTGTTCTTGTGCACAGCATCCTGGCCTTGTACTTCATGGCTAATGGATAGTCAACTTCATTCAGGAGCTGCTGAATTACAGCTGGAAATATCATCATGTATAAATGTCCTGGCCATATGTATGATATGGCTGAAGAACTTTTGGTGCTAGAACTGTTGAGGGAATACAAGGGCAGGGTCGAAGAAACATACATCTGCTCCCCGAGACAGTGAGCCAAGTAAACTGTTTGTTCTAGAGTCTTGGACTAACCATTTCTTAAGTGGTCAGTCCATCTACATGCAGAGCTGAGTAGAGCCTGACTCACGTTGAGGCAGCAAAGGGGAGAGGATATGCCGGCAGAGATGGCAAGCATTTTAGGCTAGATAAGTCCTAAACAATGGATTTGCTCCTTAATAGTCAATGCTTTTAGTAAACTCATCCTTCAACTTCCTGTGAAGTAACCTAACTAATTGTTGTTGAAACTCTGAAATCATAGAGGTATTAGCTACAACGAGCTAGAGGAAAGTCACCAGTGCCTTGCCCAGATGAGTGACTACTGATGTTAGTGATTTTAGGTCAATGAAGAACAAATGAAGCTAGAGGCTTGTTTTTGTCATTTGTGTGGCTATCTTGAACTTCACTAGTTTTAGCTTGGTGTAGTCATAAGGGGCTCTTCATCTGTAAACATTCTGGCCTTGTAGTCTTGTGATACATATGACAAAGCTATTGACAGAGCACAAGGATGAAGGCAGAAGAAAATGCATTTCATACTTTTATTGGGTTAACAGGCTAAGACCAGAATTTTCCTCTTGTCTCCTTGAGGCATTCCCTACCTGTTTCAGGGTAGCAAGCTGTCCTGGTTCATGCAAGCCTTTTCTAGTTTCCACAATGAAAACTCCTAGATGCATAGAACCCCCTTAATCCTTGGGAAACTCAGTCCTTAGTGTGCCATCCTTTCAGTCCTTGGTTTATCACCCTCTATCACAGATCAAAGTTTGAGTAGCAAGAATCTAGTTAGGAAGTATCTCAACTTACCTATGAATCAGATGACTGAATACATATACATCACTGAATTTAAATTACTTTATATCATTACAGTACTTAGAGTTTACATAGTTTTTGCTTGAACATTCCAAGTTTTCAAAAATTATGTACATGACAAAAGCTACAAATGGAAATGCTATTAGTTCAAGTTGGTAGGTGGCATCTGTGAATATCCTGGTAACTTGCCTAATTATCCATGTTGGGCTGGACATTGGGATCTCTGACTCTTTTTAGCAGTAATTATACATGGCCAAAGCCTTTTGAGGCTAAGGATACTGACTGGGCAGCAAGTGACTTGCAACTCTTATTTCATATTAAAGCCACCTGAAGAGCTTAAAAGTTGCTGAGTCTTTACCTCATACCAAACAACTCAGAATTGCTGGCAGTGTACACAGGCATAGAGAAAAGTATATTAAAGCTTTCCAGGTGATACAAATGAATGGCCAGCTTTGAGAATCACTGTGCAGTAGTCCCTCTGCCTTTATACCAGAGGCACCCCACTTAAATGTATTTCTAACTTTCTTTCCTTTGTATTCATATTCTTCTCCCCCTTCCAAGACAAAATACCTTTTGTATGATTGATCATTTCCTTAACCAGATTCTCTTCCTCATATTTGTATCCTATTTATACAATGACCTCACTGACCTGGGACCATGTTTAACTCATTGGAGGTAATAATTACTTTAGCAACAACTGACCTTGAGAGGCTCTTGCCAAGCTTTATTGGCTCCATGGTCAGTCCTGAGGCTTGAACTCAGAGCCTGGGCACTGTCCTTGAGCTTCTAGCTAGCACTCTACCACTTAAGCCATAGAGTCACTTCTGGCTTTTTCTGTTTATGTGGTAATCCTGAGGAATCAAACCCAGGGCTTCATGCATGCTAGGCAAGCACTCTACCACTAAGCCACATTCTTGGTCCTAAAAATCTCTTTTTAATTTGTTGAATATTTTATATGCAGAATGTTGACTCATGCCTGTCATTTGGCTTTATTATATGTACATTTAGAAATGGCTGAATATGAGGAAATCTTAAAAAAAAATCTAAACAAGAAAGGAACTCCTTGAGAACCTGTGAATATCTGTGGTGGTGTATGAATTTGGGGACTCTTGAATTCCTGACCACTCTTTCAGCTGTCTCTGGTCACCTGTCATAGTCTGTTTTGGATACAGACACGGCTTACTTGCTGCCCAGGGCATGACTATTGAGTCACTTACATCTGAGAAGGCCCGCTGGACATCCAAACGTAGAAACGTGACTTATTTTTAGGGTCACCAGCATCTTCACGTAGGTGCTGACAATTTTACAGATATAAGGCTGTGCATTGTAAAAGTAGAAATCTTAAAAACCTGAGCTCAGTGGGAGAGGTTCCATGACCTTTGAACTGGCCTGCAGGCTCTCAGGTTTCCTCCTCCGAACCTCGCCCCACCCCTCACCTAGGCTAAGGGTCTGAGCCTGCGCGAGACGGTTGGGGGTTGGAGGCTTACCAAGCATGCGCAGAAGCTGCTCGGCCTGAAAATTGAGCAGAGCCCCCCGCGAGGTGCGCGTTCACGCACGCGCACGCACGGCTTAGCTTGCGCGCGCATGGGGCCTCTCGCGGCACGCGCCTCCGCTCCGCCCCGCCCCGCCTCTTCCCCCCTCCCGCGCGCCCGCCCGCCGCCCGCCACCACCGCCGCCGCCGGAGCTCCGTAGTATGGCATCGAGGAGAATGGAGACCAAACCTGTGATAACCTGTCTCAAAACCCTCCTCATCATCTACTCCTTCGTCTTCTGGGTGAGTGTCCACGCCTGGCCAGTGGCCGGGACACTGTCCACCAGTCTTTATGATGATGCCCTTAGCAAGAAAGGTGGTGGTGGTGGGAAGTAAACTAAAAAATCAAATCGTGGCCCCCTCCTCAAGGAGACAGGAGCCTAGTACTGGGTCCGAGCTTCAGCATGGTAGGGTGTAGGACTGGGTGGCTTGGACCCTGAATTCTGCTTGGTACAGACTGCAGCTGGTTGTGTAGTGGGGGTGAGTGCAGGTTGTCGACCTTTCGGGATTTTTTTTCTTTTAATGCATTGATGTCTTTTTTAAGCTCGCGGAATGGGGTCAGCTCCCAGGGAATGTTGCGGGTTTGTTTTCTTTTCTGGATTCCTCTTCATGCCCTACCTTAACCAGTCTATTCGCAGCGCCTCTTTTGAGCTAACCTGTGGCGGCGTTGGGAAGAGAGCGCGGGGTTTGATCCCAGGTTTCTAGTTAATTCCCGACTCTACCCGGTTAATGAGAGGCACATGAAGCCCTGTGCCGGCTTGAGCAAGGGCGATCAGAGTCCCTGAAGCGCACTAATGGGGGGTAGGCGCCTCCACCGCGTGGAGGCACACCGAGGGAAAGAGGGTCTTACATAAGCCAGGGGCATCTTTGAGCTTTCTCAGCGACCTAGAAGATGAGTCTAATGACCCCCCCTCTTCCCACACCCTGCCATCTTTACATTCCTTATCTAGTCATTCTGTTCACTGCGGGAACCCCATCTGCAGGGTCCTGGGAGAGGACCCCCGCCACTTGGTGAGAGCGGTAGCGCCCTAACTCTTCTCAGTCTAATTGGTGCTGCTTCCAAGCCCTTGAAGCTCAATGCAGAAGGGTGACGTCAGCCCCTCAGCCAGGGCCACAGGGGGCTGCATGGTGCACCTCGCGGAGGGATGCGCGCGCGGGAGGAGAAGGGGGAGGACAAAAAGGAGGAGGAAGAGGGGGCTCCAGGCTTGAGCCTTACCTCATCCTGTTTGGCAATTCATGGAATCAGTGCAGGGCTGACACTGCAGTGATTCACTTGGAGAGGTGGGTGGTATCTAAAGACCATTCCCCGCTCTTTCTCTTTTGGCGTTGATGCCCCCTCCCTCGGTTCCCTCTTCCCATACCAAACCACAGCTACTCCTTAGGAAATAAATACCCTCCCCTCCTAATTTGGGTCATCTGAGCTTCCAAGGCAGTCATTTTGAAACCTGAGGCTCTGTAGGAAAAACCAGTCTCATTTTTGGTTGTTTTCCTTCTTGCCCGCCCCCCCTCCCACCGCGCATATTAGCCCTAATTTTGCTTTGAAACTGGAGTACAGTGCTGGATGAAGCACCCAGACTTGGCTTGATCGTGAACTTGGGTATTTGCAGTGGCCAAGGAAGAAGGAGTTGAGATTTATTAAGGATTAAAAAAAAAATTCCTCATGCCCCCGCACATTCCCGTGTTGCAAATATTCAGGTCTGGGAAACTCTGAACTCTAGGGACCATGTATATGTACCTGGAGCTTTCAAATGAGATGTGCTACATTGATAGATTGCATCGGAAAATAGATTGCACAAGGAAAATGTATAAATTGATTACTGGTACTGAAAACAACCCAGATTGAACCATCTCTGGTGGAATTGTGAGCTATGCACACAGAGGATCATGTCATCTTGTTTGTCTGCAAAAAAAAAATTACGTATGCCGATTACTGAAAACTTCCTAGTAGCCATTCCTGGGGACTAGTTTAGCTTTTTATGTATTTCCTTAAATCTGTTTTTGTTTGGCTCTATTATTTACTTGACTTCCTACTTTTTTTGGAGCAAATTATATGAAGGATTATTTTTAGCTTCCTCAAAAATAAGGTTTGTGGTACACAGGAAGTTGGGTTATTTTCTCTGCATCTCAGCAGGCTGGTAAAGGGGGTCTTACAAGGCTTAGCCTTTCATAGAAACTCTAACTCTCCTTGCTGATGCCTCTCAACCCATACTATGAATCTAATTACTTAATGCCTCCTAATACATCTTAACCACTGTATTTCATGTTCTCTGGAAGTTCCTTGATGCCGACATTTTAATTTTTTTATGCCGTCAAGATTTTCATGTTCTTACATATTTATCTGCAGCATTTTCATTAGTTTAAATAGCATTGAAGGATCATTTCCTACAACCAAAAGAATAAGATTCCTCCAGACATGAAAACATTAGAAACAAGGCATGTTTGTTAATCAGGCACAGTCTAAATGCTCTTCTTTCCATTGTGTCTTAAATGCTGGTTTAAAAAAAATGATTCTGTGTTTATTACAAACCTCAACCTAAATGCTGTTTTTATACAGCAGCTTTATTGAGACATAATTCACACACCGCAAGTCACCAATTTAAGGTATATTAATATATGTAAATATGTAAGTAATATATTCGAATATGTTCAGCATATTTTAGTATATTCACAGATAAATGGAACTGTCATTATATACAATTTCAGAACATTTTTCACCTCCAAGAAACCATGTTCCCTTCCTTTAGCTGGCATTCCATACCCCACGTAACGCTCATGCCAGCCCAAGGCAACTCCTAATCTACTTGCCGTCTCTGTAGATTTTCCTGTTCTACACATTTCATATGTATAGGGCCACACAATACTTGTCCTATTGTGACTAGATTCTTCCACTTAGCATAGTGTCTTCAAGGCTGTTCCATGTTATAGCAGTCCTTCATTTTTTTTTTTATGAAAGGAGAGAAGGTTAGCACTTCCCTTGTCAAGGATGGAAGAGGCCCTTGAGCCTGACAACACACATACAGTTAAGGCATTGCCACCTACTTCATTTTTTTATGATCAAATAATATTCCCTTATATGGAATACTACTACATTTAGTTAATCTATTGTCCATTGATGAACATTTGGATTGAGTCATTGGCTATTATGAATAATGGTGCTATAAAACATTCATGTATCAATTTTGTATCAACATATATTTTCATTTTTGGCCGTCAAATTACTGGGGCACATGTCACTCTATGTTTAATTGTTTGAAAAATTGCCATACTGTTTTCCAGAGCAACTGCTATCATTTTACATACCCTCCAGTTGTGAGGGTTCCAGTTTCTTTACCTCCTTGCTAGCATATTTTTTGGTCTCTGGTTTTCAACTGTAGCCATCCTAAGTAAGCATAAACTTACATCTCATTATGGTCCTGATGAACATGGATGTTGAACATCTTTTTGCACACTTATTGCACATTAGTATATTTTCCTTGAAGAAATGCCTGTTTATATCCTTTGACCACTTTTATTTGGATTGTCTTTTTTATTGAGATAAAAGGATCCTTTATATGTTGTGTATATAAGCCCCTATCAGATATATTATTTTTTTTTGTCCTGGTCCTGGGGCTTGAACTCAGTGCCCCAGTACTGTTCTGAGCTTCTTTTGCTCAAGGCTAGTGTTCTACCACTTAAGCCACAGCTTTACCTCCAGCTTTTTAGATTTGGTAGTTAATTGGAGATAAGAATCTCATGGACCTTCCTGCCTTGGTTGGCTTTGAACAATGATCCTAGGATCTCAGCCTCCTGAGTAGCTATAATTATAAGTTCCTGGCTTCAGAAATTTGATTTGCAAATATTTTTCCCATTCTTTGTGTTATGTCTTCACTTTTTCTTGATGTCTTTGAAGTATAGAGGTTTTTGTTTAATTTTAAGGAAAGAAATCTATCAATTTTTCTTTTGTTGTTCATCCTTTGCCAGAATTCCATGTCACAAAATTTACATGTTAAAAGCTTTTTGTAATAATGATTTCTCTGAACTGTGAATCCCAGCTTCATAGGGACTACTTTAATACTGCTTTTTCTACTAAAGTTGGTATTTACCTGGTCTTTGAATGTTAGTACTTGGCTAACCTAACTTTCCTTTACCCCCATCAGCTATACTTTATCTTTCTACTATGTAAAGGAAAGCTGTGGGAAATGGTCTATATTTTATATACTTAGATGTTTATGTACTGTTGGGGATGTTTTTTGGGTGCTGTTTTGGACAAAATAAAAACTTCTATATTGGGGCCAAAAATTCTCTGTTCAGTAAATGCAATTGGTACATTAATCTTTCTTCCTCATCTTTAATAATGTCTGGGACATGGTAAGTACTCAAATATTTGTCAGAATTTGTGGAATTATGCTAATTAGCAAAATATGACTAGTTTTTTTTCTGAGGAAAAGATGGAGGAGTGATTAGGTACAATTATTTTAATCATGCTCTTTGTGAGTTGTTTGAATTGAATGTCTCTTCCGTTACTTCAGTATAGCTTAGGGCTAAAAGATCTTAAATGGTGTTGGACAGTAGCATCAGGAAGTACTTGGGCATGTACTAAACTAGAAGTCTGCAGTTAAGAAAGAGATCTGCTTTTTTGTCTACAATCATTCTTCCTCTCTGAGAGGTTTCTCTAAAGTGGTGGTTTTCAACAGGAAGCAATCCTTCCATATTGGCAATGTTTGAAGACATTTTTTGTTAGAGATAGGGAGGGAGCTACTGGCATCTAGTGGGTAGAGGCCATCCTACAGTATACTGGACAACCTTTTGAAACAAATGAACTGATTGAAAGTATCCACAGCACTAGCAATTTCGTTATTTTATTTAGTATTCAAAATATCATTCCAAAGCATGTGCAACACAATCAAAGGGAAGAAGAACAACATTCTCTATGGTATGCCATAATATGTGTGTGTGCACATGCACACATCTGTGCACCAATCCAGGGGCTTGAACTCGGGTGTCTGGGTGTTGTATCCGAGGTATTTTTGCACAAGGCTAGTGGAGTCACAGCTCCACTTCCAGCTTTGGTTAATTGGAAATCAGAGTCTCATGGACTTTCCTGCCCTAGCTGGCTTCAAACTGTGATCCTCAGATCTCAGCTTTCTGAATAGCTAGGATTACAGGTGTGAACCACCAGCACCTGGCTAATTCTTTATTGCATCCATGATCCAGGAATATTTACTCACAGGAATATTCACTCATATTTTAGGAATTACTGGGAT